TGGTGGTGATGGTGAGGTGGTGGTGGGGATGGTGAGATGGTGGTGAAGGTGATTGTGATGGCGGCTATGGTGGTGGAGGTGGTGGTGGTGGGGATGGTGAGGAGCTCAGAGCAAGCACTGCTCAGACCCCGTGAGATCCCCGGTGTGAGTGTAGATTTTACATCACAAGCCAGCTTGTACAAAGATGCTAGCAGACTCCCTCATTTGGAAATAAAGAGCCAAGTGGACCTCATCCTGCCCCCGGAGCCATTTCTCATCAGCCCAGAGAGATCCAGCACGTTGCTGGGTGTCACAGCAAGTCCTGGCCAGACCTGGGTCGCTCCCCCCACCATGACACGCCCTTCCAATCTGATTGCTACCCGCCTTTAAATCAGAAATAGACTCTTCCCCAGGAGCCGGGTCAAAACGGCGCATTATGGTTTCCAAAGGAAAAAAAAATCCATTCCACATTATTTTGTTTTTTTCTCCTAATTTAAACTGCCTCAGCCCAGGCTAGTTGCAAAGTCGATATCGGTGAAATACACTCAGCTGGCTGCCTGCCAGGCCACAGGGTGGTTACAGAAACGGGTGTAAATCAGAGCAGTAACAAGCAGGAGCACGCCGTGGCTTCTGTCCTGTGGGAGAAACACAGGGGGCAGAGCGGGAAGCCCCGCAGACCGGGCCCTCCCGCCAGGTGCCTGTCCCACAGCCTCAGACCTCGGAGTGGGCCCTCTCCTGTAACCCAGTTGCACCCAGGGCCTCAGCAGGGCTGCTCGGCCCTGCACAAGCTCACGGTCTGCTTGGGGAGAAGGGGTTGGTGTGAGGGCCGGGTGCAGGCAGGGTGGAGGGATGGGGTCCTCGGGGACCCTGGGGACTCCCCCTGATCGGAGGCTGGGAGGATGCTGGAAGAAGACGCAGAGACCAGGGGCTCTTCCAAGCCCTGCTCCCACGCTCCATTGACAAGGGCAGGGTCGGCCTCCCGTCCTGGGTGCCAGGGGTGGAAGGTCCCCCGACCATCAACCAGCTCATTTGGGGAACCTCAGGACCCAGGGCAGATTGCCCAGTAACCATGCGTCACACTGGCTTATAGTCAGCAAGGTATGCATGGGCTTACCTGTGCTTACTCACTGATCTGTGGGGAGCAGTTTCACCTGGGTTCAGGACTGATCACTCCAGATCAGTAGGTAAGCACAAGTAAGCCCATGCATACCTTGCTTATTGGTAAAATGCATCCTGTGAGGACCAGAGGGGGTATGACGTGCCGGAGGCCGAGAACGTGGGCACCCTGAGCCCTCACCCTGAGGGGGGCTGGAGGAGAAGCGAGCCCAGGGAGCTGTCCAGGACCTTGGTGGGTGCTCAGAGCGCCCCCTGAAGGCAGCGGCCTGTGCAGCAGCTGGGCCCGCAAGGAGCAGAAGTTCCCAGCTCCTCCCAAGTTCTGATGACCAGGGACATAACAGGGTTCTCTGTCTGTTATTGGGTTGTCACTGGCCGGAGGCAGCCACCCTGCCCCTCGGCGGTGTCCCTCTGGGCCCGGCCTCCGAGCCTCAGTTTTCTTATTTGAGCCAGGACGTCTTCAGAGGAAAACGATGGGGAAACTGAGGCCCCGATGTGTAGTTGTCTTGTGAGGGCATTCAGACCTGGGCGAGGTTTCTTACCGTTTGCCTCCATGTCACCTTGAAATACAAGAACAGAGCAAATCCAGGCCAGGCGTCCCCTGTGCCAGGCCATGTGTGGGGACTGTTCCCCACCCCTCCCACATGTGACTCAGGTTCACGGAAGAGGCAGCGGGGGCCGAGCTGGGACGAATGCCCAGGGCCACGTGTGGCTGCTCGGCCCGCAGAAGGCCTGGTGAGCTGTGACCGGTCCCTCTCTTGTCTTGCAGGAGGGGCATCTGAGCAGGAGCTGAGCTGAGCTGCCTGGACACAGGCCGATGGGGACGGCAGCCGGGCGTCGGGGAGGCACGCTCGCTCCCCACGCTGCCACGCGCTCTGGGACAGGACACCCCTGAGTGTGTCCCTCGGTCCCCTGGGGGCTGCCGCCAACCCCACCCCATCTCTCCGGGCGGGTGAGCGGGCTCCCCCGCGAGGCGTCCCCATGGCCTGGGGCGTGCTGTGGGTGTGCGTGGCGGCGTGTGCCCTGCTGCACGCGGGCGGGCTGGCTCGCGGGGACTGCTGGCTGATTGAGGGTGACAAGGGCTTCGTGTGGCTGGCCATTTGCAGCCAGAACCAGCCGCCCTACGAGGCCATCCCGCAGCAGATCAACAACACCATCGTGGACCTGCGGCTGAACGAGAACCGGATCCGCAGCGTGCAGTACACCTCGCTCAGCCGCTTCGGGAACCTCACGTACCTCAACCTCACCAAGAACGAGATCGGCTACATCGAGGACGGGGCCTTCTCAGGCCAGTTCAACCTGCAGGTGCTGCAGCTGGGTTACAACCGGCTGCGCAACCTCACCGAGGGCGTCCTGCGCGGCCTGAGCAAGCTGGAGTACCTGTACCTCCAGGCCAACCTCATCGAGGTGGTCACGCCCAGCGCCTTCTGGGAGTGCCCCAACATCGTCAACATCGACCTGTCCATGAACCGCATCCAGCGGCTGCACAGCACCACCTTTGCGGGCCTGGCCAAGCTGTCCGTGTGCGAGCTGTACAGCAACCCTTTCTACTGCTCCTGTGAGCTGCTGGGCTTCCTGCGCTGGCTGGCCGCCTTCACCAACGCCACGCACGCCTTCGACCGCGTGCAGTGCGAGTCCCCCCCACTCTACTCCGGCTACTTCCTCCTGGGCCAGGGCCGCCACGGCCACCGCAGCATCCTCAGTAAGCTGCAGTCCGTGTGCACCGACAGCTCCTACACGGGCGAGGCCCGCAGTCCACGCCCCGGGCCCAGACGCTCGCCGCCACCACCGCCGCCGCCGCCACCAGAGCCCAGCGACGTGGCCTGCTCCGAGGAGGAGTGCTTCTCTGGGGACGGGACCACGCCGCTGGTGGCCCTGCCCACGTTGGCCACCCAGGTGGAGGCCCGGCCACTGCTCAAGGTGAAGCAGCTGACCCAGAACTCGGCCACCGTCACGGTGCAGCTGCCCAGCCCGTTCACCCGCATGTACACACTGGAGCAGTTCAACAACAGCCAGCCGTCCACCGTCTCCCGGCTGACCAAGGCCCGGGAGGAGATCCGCCTCACCAACCTGCACGCGCTCACCAACTACACCTACTGCGTGGTGTCCACCAGCGCCGGCCTGCGCCACAACCACACCTGCCTCACCATCTGCCTGCCCAAGCCGCCCAGCCCGCCCGGGCCCGTGCCCAGCCCCTCCACCGCCACCCACTACATCATGACCATCCTGGGCTGCCTCTTCGGCATGGTCCTGGTGCTGGGCGCCGTGTACTACTGCCTGCGCAAGAGGCGGCGCCAGGAGGAGAAGCACAAGAAGGCGGCCGCGGCGGCCGGCAGCCTGAAGAAGACCATCATCGAACTTAAGTACGGCCCCGACATGGAGGCGCCCGGCCTGCCGCCGCTGCCCCAGGGTCCGCTGCTGGGCCCCGAGGCCGTCACCCGCATCCCCTACCTGCCAGCGGCCGCCGCAGCCAGCGAGCTGGAGCAGTACAAGCTGGCGGAGAGCAGCGAGACCCCCAAGACCAAGGGCAACTACATAGAGGTCCGCACGGCCGAGCAGCCGGAGCGGCCGGGCCCAGACAGCCAGGGCTCGGTGGCCGAGATCTCCACCATCGCCAAGGAGGTGGACAAGGTGAACCAGATCATCAACAACTGCATCGACGCGCTCAAATCCGAGTCCACGTCCTTCCAGGCCGTCAAGTCCGGGGCCGTGTCCACGGCCGAGCCGCAGCTGGTGCTGCTGTCCGAGCCGCTGGCCGGCAAGCACAGCTTCCTGTCGCCCATGTACAAGGACTCGGTGTCGGCGGGGCGCAGCCTGCAGCGGCACC